ATAGATAGTGTAAAAAAATTATTTCTATTATCTGGAGCTTTCATAACAAAAGAGACATTATCAAAAGATATGTTTTAAATAAATATGATTATATGATATTAACGTTTGTTAAAAATTTCAATACATACATATTAATATTTTATGATTATGAAACAGTTGATATCAATAATCTGAAAAAAAACAAATTAGGAAGAGTTTCTACTGGATATAAAGTAGATAGAGCATTTATAGGAGTGTATGTATTTTTCAAAGGGAGAGAAATTAAACCATTTTACACTGTTGCAGTTTTGTTACTGAACGAAGAATTTCCAGTAGAATACAATGAGATAGATGAAAAGACTGAATTAGTATATGTAGATAATCAAGCAGATTTTTTTTGGTAAAGGCAAAATTGTATAAAAATATTAGACCTGAAAAAACTGGTAGTTGGAATAATCTTGGATATGATATGAAATTTGCTATAAGAAAATTATATGAATTAAATATATTTGATGTTTTCATGTATGAAGCAACTAGTAGATATAATTCTGTTGAGAATATTATCAGATATAATTATAAGAGGGAATATGTTACTGTAAATGCAAATGAGAAAGCACAACATTTTTATTTGAGTATTTCTGGCACAAATGAATATGATCAACAGACAATATTTAGACAAAATTATCAAACATTATTAACATGGACATTAAATTTGATATTAAAAAAACTTGGATTAGAACCAAAAAAAAAAATGCCAATAGAGGAAATGTATGATATATTATATAATTGTCAAAATAGTAATTATGATAGAAAAACAAAGAGGGAAAAATGTACATTGATATTAAAATATTGTATTAGAGATTGTATTGCATCTAAAGAAGCAATTGAACTTATTAACAAAATCACAGAATATAGAGTTTTATCAGAATTGACAACAATAGATTTAATAGAATACTCATATAGAAACAAGACTAAAATGATTAATAATTTAATTGCAAAATTTGCTAAGCAATATAGAATATCATTTAATTATAACAAAAATAATCAAAAAGAAAAATTTGGAGGAGGAAATGTATTTGAACCTAATACAGGATATAAAAAAAATATTAGTGGAATATTAGATTTTAATTCATTATATCTGAATATGATGATGCAATATAATATATGTTTTACCACTAAATTAAGAGATGGTAAAACAGAAGAAGGTTGTCATGAGATATCATTTCAAGATGAAAAAGGAAATATCAAGATTGTTAGATTTACTAAAAAAAAAAAGGGTTTAATATAATAATTTTAGAATTACTTGTATTTGAAAGAAAAAAGGCAAAAAAGGATCGTGATGGATATGATAAGGAAGAAACCTTGTATAATTATTTTATATTTTGCAAGATACATTAAAAAAGATAGCAAATTCTATTTACAGACAATTTAGAAATTAGTATTCAATTATTTGTGATTATGATATATCTGCTGCAGTTACTGCGTATGCAAGACAGTATATCTTAAAAGTATCATAATATGTTAATGACAAGGAAATTTATCAACATGAGATTCATGATTTAGTATTTGGAAAATATGATGAATTGTCTGATGTAAAAGTAAAAAAATTTATTTTGAATTATAGTGATATGATTCGATCTTTTTTCAATTTTTATCCTTTATAGTTGATAAGATTATTAGAAAATATGAAGATAGATTATTAAATATTAATTTATCATTAGAAGAATATCAAAAAGTAATATATAATATTCAACAAGAAATGGTTATTATTACATTTAATGAAGGTATAAAATTACAAAATGAGATAAATAAATGGATGGCTAATGAGATTGGTCATCAAAAATTGTCAAGGAATTAGAAAAAGTTATTATTGCTCCTATATATTTTGCGAAAAAGAAATATATTAGGTTAATGTTTGAAAAACTGAAATATTACTATGATGATAGTGGAAAAGATTTAGAGAAACATGTTAAAGAGACATTGGGTGTGAAAGAAGTAACACAAAAAATAATTAATGATTATATTGAAAAAACTGATAAATACACATTGTTAGTATATAGTAAAAAATTTAACAATATATTAGTGAAAGGTATTAATTTAGTTAGAAGAAATTCCACTCTTATATCACGTGTAATATTGAAAAAAATATTTTATGCAATATTTGATTATAAAAAATATGCAGAATATTTGCAAAGTTTGAATTTTGTGAATATAAAACAGTATCAGAATTTTTTCAATGGATTAGATGAGGAACATAATTGGGGTGAATATATAAGTAAAAAAACAGGTATTTTTTTTTTATAAATTTATATTATTTATTATTAAATAAAAATATTAATTTATATTATTTCTTAAAAGTTGAAGATTTTATTAAATATTTAAATAGTAAAGAATCAGAAAAGAATTTGGAATTATTTGAACAAAATCTTAGAAATAACAGTGATAAAGATAATGAGATGACATTTATTGAATTAGTTGAATATAAGAGTTATAAAAATGGTTATTAGGAATTGATAGATGAAAATATTGTTCTTTATGAAATTCAACATGAGATTATTAAAGATAAAAATAGAATTGACAAAAAAGGAAAGATGATCAAGTTTGATAAAGTTAATAAAGAGACTTTAATAAGAATTAATTTTGAAAAGAGAAGAAAGAATCAGAAAGATTGGGAAAAGTTAAATCAAGATTTTATATTTTTTGATGATAAGAATGAAAATTCTAAAGAAACAATATTAAAACAGGAAGATGATAAGTCCAAATCTATGGTCAAGAATTTTGTTACATATATGGATATGTTAGATATTGAAATTGATAAACCACATTTTAAATATCTTAAATTATATATACATGGTATTGATAGGGTATATAAATGTATGAAATTATTACATTTATTTGATCCAGAAAAAGGTGATAGAATAGATAAGTTTCATTATTTAAAAAGTATTGCACTAATTTTAGCAGTTTTAATAAGAGTTTCTGAGAAGAAAGCAAAGAAATAGCTTGAAGACATGAGTAATAGATATACAAATAAGAGACTTGATGAAGGATTAGATTTACTAGATAATAAAGTATAGAAAAAAAAAAGAAAAATTAATATTTTAAATATTAATTCAAGAAAAAAAATAAAAGAAAATGAGAGCTTAAAAAGAAAGGCAAATAGTAATTTAATTCTCAAGATTACTGATTATTTTAAAAGAAAGAAAAAAAATGAAGAATATGATGATCCATTTGAATGAAAATTAATATTGTATATAATATTTAATAGATATAATATTTTTAATTAATAATATAATTTATTTATTTATATTTCAACATTACTGTCTAAATTTAAATTTAAATTTTCTAATAAATTTGTATCAGTATTGAAAATTGATTCAAAATATTCTTTGATATCATTAGAAGTTTTGATATTTTTGGTATAATTAATGATGCTGCTATTAATATTATTAATATGATCATAAACCATACTATAGATGCTATCTACTATTTTTTTCATTTTCCATTCTATCATGTTATTTCTGATAGTATGAAATGTGTTTAAATCAGCAATTTGTTTTTCTAAATCTGCAACTTGTTTTTGTAAATCTAATATGATTTTATCATCATTTTCTCCTTTTTTTTCTCTTAAAGATTTATTTTCATTAGTCAAAATTAAATTTTTTTCTTTTAGATTACCAATTTCTTCTTTATATTCTTCATTTTTTTTAGTTGAATCATTTAATAATGATTGTAGTTTAGTAATTTGTTCTTTATTTTTACTCATTAAATAATCTAAAGATGTTTTGATATCTTTGATATTTCTAATAGTATCTTCATTTCTATTTTCTTTAATATTTGTTTTTTTAGTAATTGTAGTTTTACCTTTAATTGATATTTAATTAGAATATTGAACGAAAAAAAAATGATAATGATGAATTATACATACTATTTGTTCCATATTGAAAGTTAATATTATTAATTTTAATTATAATTAATAATAATTAAATTACAAACTATTTTTTAGATGGTTCCTGATCAATTTCTATTTTCGAATTTTGTAAATTATTTTTAAAAGATGATCTTATATTATTAATATATCAAAAATTAATTAATAATTTTTTATTTATTTAAACAACATATTTTATATCTTGGCATAAATATAAGAAAAAAAAATAATGTCTTCCAACAATCATAAAGATAATACATGTTTTCTTATTTTAGAAACTGGAATTACTTATGATTATTTTGATAAAGAAAATCCACTTACTCAAAAAGGTTATGTTAGTAATGATAAAGCTTTAAAGGATTCTATGATTATTCAAGAATTTAATAGAAAAATTGATGAGAAAAGAGAAAAGTTTGAAAAGGTTAATGTATATGTTGTATTATTACAACAATTTTGGAAAGGTAATAAAACATCGTATATTGTAGCTGAAAGACAGGATGGATCTCAGATTACTCAATTAACTCTTGATATTGGTGATAGATTTGAAGTTTTATTTAGATTATTAGTTTCTATTTCTAAAAGATTAGATCCCATTTCTAAGAGATCTGAATTTGAAGAAAAATGTATTAATCTTATTGTTAAAGAAAATAAGTGATTTAGATGTATGATTAAATATAAGCTTTATCATTGGGAAAAAGCTAATTTTGACAAGAATAATGATATAATTAGTAAAATTAATGGATTGACAAAACCAAGAGAGGAGATTACATATTCTTCTTTTGTAAGAGAATTAGTTGATATTATGAAAGATAAGAATATCATGTTTGATGCTGAAACAGAACTTGATAAAGTAGAAGATGTAGATGAGTATTTTACTCATTTTAAACCAGTAATTAATAATCGTAAAAATAGAGAATATGATACAATCAAACAACCTCAAAAAGAGAATAGAAAAAAGAAAAATATAAGATAGATATTGTTTTATTTAATTTAATTTTATTATATAATTCATATTATATCATTTATAATTAGTATTATTTTTTATATTTATTTTTATATATTTTACTATTAATAAAATATTTTTATATATGATTTATTTTGGTTTAAAAATTCCAAATATTTTATTAAATATATTAGTTGATGATTCTTTTTGTAGATCTATATTCATAAGATTTTGTAAAGTTAATGATCTACTAAATGATCTGAATATACTCATCAAACTTCCTGGTCTAGAAGATGTTGTAAATAGTATTATTTGAGGTACTGGTTGTAAATTATCTGTATTGATTGGAGTATCTATTGATATAGTGATTTCATCTTGTATTGCTGCACGAGGATTAATCTGTTGAATATTTGTTATTTGAACTTGTTCTCTTTCACATATTTTTCTTTCATTTTCTTCTGCATATTCTTCAGGTGATAAGAATTTATTTTTTTCTTTTTTTCTTCTTTCGATTTCTTCTTCTGATATAAATAAATCATTGTCAGATATATCTGATATATGTGTTACATCTGAAATATAATTGGTTTGTAAAGAATTTGATTTGATAGATTTATTTTCTTCTATACTTTCTATATTTTTTCGAATTTTATTAGCATAATTATCAGAATTACTATCACTATCATTATTTTCTTGTGTTTTTCTTTTATTTAGAAAAGTTTTTGTTTGAAATGTTAATTAGGATCTACTTCTACTTCTGAGTTCTATTCAAGCTTTTTCTAAATAAGTATTATCCACACTAGAATGTATTCCTAATTCTTTCATAAAATTATTTTTTATTTGTATATTTGGAATAGTTGGGACATTTGGAATATTTGTTATAGTACCATATCTTATTAATTGTCTTTCTGTATTTTGATTATTTCTAAGTTCATTCATAAAATTATTTATGATATCAGAATTTGTAAAATCATCTTCATTTTTTATTTGTCCTTGTAATGATCTGATTAATCTTTGTTGTCTTGGATAAATAAATGATCTTCCTATTCTTGGTCTTTGAATTCCTATTGTTCTTCTATAATTTATAGTGATTCTTCTTAGGTTTCTTTGTTGAATTTGATTTAATCTTTCGAAAAGTCTTTGCATAGTTTCTCTTTGTTGTCTTTCAAGTCAATTATGATAAAATCTTGCTTGTTATTTTGAAAATTTTCAAACATCATTTCAATATTAGCATCATCTTATCTTATTAGATTTTGCATATTTTCTAATATAGTATCTTGAGTAGTTATATGTGTGTTTAATAAATCTTGCATATTTGTTAATCTTTCAAAAAAATTATCATTTCTTATGCATCTTATACTACCATCAGTTTTGATTATTCTTTTATCTATATTAAGAATATTTCTACTTATATCTTCATTTAATTGTTTTATATTTTTTAATCTATTTTCTATTAGAGTATTTCCAAAATTTGTTCTATGATCCAATTTTCCAATTATTTTATTTAAATTATTTATATCAGTATTGATTTTATCAAATCTATTATTGAAATTTTGATTTATATTATTGATGTTATTATTAGTATCTCTAAATCTATTAGCAAGATAATTATTTAATGTACCAAGTCTTTGATTTAGATTATTATTAATTCTATTTATGATATTTCGATTTAAAGCATCTAATCTAATATTTATTCTTTAATCTAATCTATTAAAACAATTGAATATAGTATGACGTGTATTAATATGTTGATTTTTTGTATTTCTATATATGTTATTTTGTAAGTTATTCAAAGAAGTTTTCAATCTATTTTCAGATCTTGTGACTAAATTGAATAGGTTTTGATCACATGTTTGAAGTTGATTTTGTAAGTTTTAAATTTGATTTTGTATAGGTCGAATTAGATTAGCATTATTACTATTACCCATAGGTCTAGCTAGTGGAGAGAAAATACTACTATGTTCATTTTCTGGAGATATATTTGAACTAGGAGGAGGTAAACCACCAGGTTTAGAAGGCATCAGAGGTAGTAATGGTCTAATACCAAGATGTGGTAGTATTTGTATATTATTTTCGATATGCCATAGTTTTAATTCTCTTGTGAATTTTATTATTCTAGAGTTTTCATATGGTAATATTCTACTATTTTGATGTAGACATATAGGATCATTTCTACTATGATTTTTACTACCACAACAACCACATGCAGCAATATAATTTGGTATTTTAGGTCTTCTAGATATTTTTGGTATTCTTAGAATTTTAGGTGTATTAACAAAAACATATAGTTGAGGTTGTGGTTGATTTACAAAAAATATAGTTGTTGTTGATTTATATATTGGTAAGGCCAAGTATTAAAAAAAAATGAAATTTGACATTTGACAAAAGATAATAATAAAATAAATAATAATGATAATATTTTTATTAGATACATTTTAAAAAGTTAAAAGATTTTGATTTTGTAATATGAATTAAGGAATTGCTTTTCTTTGCAAATTATATTTTTTTTTGAATTTATCTAGACTTTCTTTGATTTTATTAAATTGTGGCTCTGGAATACAACCATTCATATGTCTATTATTTTGAATGTAAATTGGACAATTATTTTTTGAATGACTGAGTTCTTCACAACAACCACATATGATTATATTTGATGTTGGATTTTCAAAATATTTGTTTACTGATTTTCTTGTATTTGCAACATTTATCAAGTCATTTCTATTAATGACTTGAATGACAGGATATCTATTATGTCTTTTAGAGGCATATCTATGACCCATACTACTATATGCACTTCAAGTTTTTCTAGAAGCTGGACGAGTTCTTATAACTCTGTAAGTTATCCAAGGAGGTTTCTAATTATCTATAATTTTATTATTTTTATTATTGAATAAAATTATATTTTTTTGAGGCATCATAGCATTATTTTGCTAAGGTACAAGAGCATTACTGAAAGGATTGATATTCAGTTGATTAAAAAGTATGAAAAATTTTTTAGGATATGTTTTTTTATTGTGACCTGCTCTTCTACAAATGCCACATCTTTTAATAGATTCTGATCTAATTATTAATAAAATTATTAATGTTATTATTAATAAGATTTTTTTAGATATTTTTTTTTTGTTATTGAAAGAAAAAAACTTTATTTAAATATTTTTATTTTATATTATAATAAAAATTAATATATTTTATAATTAAAAAGTTAAGAGGTTTTGAGGTTATAACATAAATATAGGAATTAATTTTCTTTGCAAATTATATCTTTTTCTAAAATTATCTATACCTTCTTTGATTTTATCAAATTGTTTTTGTGCGAGACAAGTAGCAACAGTTCGGGGATCAGTATTAGCATTGATATCACTATTAGCTCGCATAGCAGCTTGGAAGATTGGACAATATTTTTTGGAATAACCTATTTCACTACAACATTTACATATTTTTATATATGATTTTGGATCTTTGAAATAATTTGATACAGATTTTCTAATATTATCTAAATGACATATATTTGGAATAGCACATGGTCTTCTATTTGTATTTCTATATCCTATAGCACCACAATGACTACAAGTTTTTCCACCTGTAGGACAAACTCTTATAACTCTGTGGGTTATCCATAGAACTTCCTAAATATTTGATGATAATTTATTATTTTTTATATTATCAAATAAAACTATACTTCTCTTATTATTTGGAACCCAAGGTACGAGTGCATTACTGAAAGAATTGATATTTGGTTGATTAAAAGGTATGAAAAATTTTTTAGGACATTTTCTTCTATTATGACCTGTTCTTTTATATATAGTACATCTTTTAACAGCTTCTGATTCGAATATTATTAGATTTATTAATAGAAAAATTAAAAATAATTTCCATAATTTGTTTTTAGACATGATCTTCTATCATAACCTATTCTTCTACAGATCCCACAGTGATGAATTTTTTGATTAGATTGATAATTGGGACAGGGTTTTTTTTTACAAGAAATGACATTATGTCCTTGTAAACCACAATATCCACAAGTGCAAAATGAGTTATTTATTAATATTAATAAAAGTAACAATAAAGATAACAGGTATAAGAATTTCATGTTTTTTTTTTTTTTTTTTTTTTTTTTTTTTATTATTATAATGCCATAGTAGAAACTTTATTACAAAGTAGAACAGATGTTCAGAATTTAAAGATTTCTAGCTATATTTGTGTTATATAAAACTAAGTTATTAGTTATTTTAAGACTACCTAATGTGACATTACACCCCCTATTCCCTATTGTATGCTATATTTAATTATTTCAAATTAGTTTTTAGCTAGGAGAGATTGGAGAAAACCTAAGGTGTTAATTATGATATTATAATGTGCAAGTTGTTAGTGAGAAGCCTTATAGAAACTATTTTTTGATTTCAGATATAGGGTTTGTTGTTTAAATAGTTATTGTATTTGTATTTGGTTTGTTAGAAAGTATAGGATATGTGAGTTTTATACGTCTAGTTTTTGTTGTGATATTTCGGTCAAGTTCTTATTTATATTGATATAGATTTTGTTGAAACTATATATCACTATATAGCCAGTTGAATAAGTTGTTTGCTATATTAGTAAGGAGAGTATCTGTTTGTTTTTGGACTAAATTTTTGATATTAGTATAAGTTGTTATTGAGAAAGTACTAGTTATAGAGTAAAGAATATGTTGGTATTGTGGATTTGGAGAGTTTAGTATAAAATTTAGAAGGATGTTAAGAAGTGTTTGAGTAGAAATTGTTGTTATTTTAAGTGATGTTAACATATTGTTAATTGTATTAATTAGTGCTTGTTGGATGTTTGGATTATTTTTTGTACAGAGAAGAATATGTATAGTGTTTTCAATAGTTGGACATTGTGTACAGTTAGATGTTGTATATAAGTAAGGATAGCGGATATTTAAATTTTGCATTGTTGACAAGTTGTTTGTTAAGATTTTAATTCAGAAGGTATATTTTTGTGAGTTGTGTTCTAGTGAGTTTAGAATTTTAAACATTAGGGCCCATTTAATTTCTGAGTTTTCTTTGAGAAATTTTAATGAAATCCATGTTGTTAATTCTTGAATTGTGAATATAGATTTAATGAATGATCGAATTTTGAATGGAATAAGATGGTTGTTCTATAGGAAGTAAGTAGAGATATTGAAATAAGAATATGAGAGCTCTAAAATTAGTTTAGTAGTGCCTTGTTTTGCAAGCAAGTCTGCTTGGTTATGGAGAGAATCTGTGAAGTGTGATTTGACTTTAGTGAGTATAAATGTAAGGTTTTTAGTTCTTTTAATTGAATTAATAATTTGTATAATATCCTAATTTTTATTTTGAATCAGTTTAGAGAGAGGAAGTTTAAAAGATTTTTGATTGCAGTTATATTGTCTAGAAAAATTGTTAATGTCGAATTTGTAGGGATAGTTAGAAAAAGAGAGATAATTGAGAATAGTTCGATGTGAGTAGAGTCAAAGTAAGGAGGAGTTGTAGCATTGAATTTGATAAATAAATTGCTTATACAGATCCATCCTATGTCTGTTTGGATGTTAGGAGTTTGTATATTTTTGATTGAAGTGTCTGTGTAAAATTGTAAATTATCTGAAGATAGATTTTGAATAGATAAGAAAAGATTAGTTAGTTGGTTTTGGTAAAGTGGTAA